TCTATTTATTCCTACACCTAACAATACATCTGTCTATTTCTATTGCTAAGCATGTGGACAATGTTTTTTTTAATAAATGCATTTAGCATGTAATGTGTTATAATTTAAATTAGTAATGGTCCATGTGCCTAAAAGCATTAAAAAGGACAGGAATCATTTAATAACTCAATTCAGCAACATTTCATGAAGCTGACACATATACCTCTGTAAAATGTTTCAACAATATACTCCTGGCAATTATGTGAAAACGTTAGCAGGTATTAGACTGAGACTGTTATACAGTTATGCTCTGAATATTGTTTTGCAACAGGGACATCTAGTGGGCAAACAATTTTTTGTAGAGACTTCTGTTATTGGATGTAAAACTGCTGTGAGTTTGGGAATCCACATAAAAGCATTAAGCCAAAAATCCAATTTAAAGTAACTGAAAAAATAAATATATACACAGTGTTTATATATACACTATATTACCAAAAGTTTTGGGACGCCTGCCTTTACACGCACATGAACTTTAATGGCATGCCAGTCTTAGTCTGTAAGGTTCAATATTGAGTTGGCCCACCCTTTGCTGCTATAACAGCTTCAACTCTTCTGGGGAGGCTCTCCACAAGGTCTAGGAGTGTGTCTATGGGGATGTTTGACCATTCTTCCAGAAGCGCATTTGTGAGGTCAGGTACTGATGTTGGATGAGAATGCCTGGCTCGCAGTCTCCGCTCTAATTCATCCCAAAGCTGTTCTATCGGGTTGAGGTCAGGACTCTGTGCAGGGGTGTCAAGTTCCTCCCCCCCCCACTCGCTCATCCATGTCTTTATGGACCTTGCTTTGTGCACTGGCGCGCAGTCATGTTAAAACAGGAAGGGGCCATCCCTAAACTGTTCCCACAAAGTTGGGAACATGAAATTGTTCAAAATGTCTTGGTATGCTGATGCCTTAAGAGTTCCCTTCACTGGAACGAAGGGACCAAGCCAAACCCCAGAAAAACAACCCCACATCATAATCCCCCCTCCAGCAAACTTTACACTTGGCACAATGCAGTCAGGCAAGTACCAATCTCCTGACAACCGGCAAACCCAGACACGTCCATAGGATTGCCAGACAGAGAAGCATGATTCGTCACTCCACAGAACACCTCTCCACTTCTCTAGAGTTCAGTGGTGGCGTGCTTTACACCACTGCATCTGACGCTTTGCATTGCACTTGGTGATGCAAGGCTTGGATGCAGCTGCTCGGCCATGGAAATCCATTCCAGGAAGCTCTCTGCGCACTGTTGTTGTACCAATCTGAAGGCCACACGGAGTTTGGAGGTCTGTACTCAGTTGCTTCCACTGGTATTTATATTTATTAGCAAGGAATTTCACGGAACACCTGAATCCAATAATTTGGAAGGGTGTCCCAATACTTTTGGTAATATAGTGTACACACACACACACACACCAATGGGCACCCCTACATTTCTGTCAAATAATGTACCACTTCGTGCAGAAAATTGTTGCAATTACAAATGTTTTGGCATTCTCATCTTTATTTCTTTTGTTTGTATTGGTATGACACAAAAAAGTGGAGAGAAAAAAGCCAAATCTGACACATTGTACGCCAACCTCCAAAAATGGACTGGACAAAATTATTGGCACCCTCAATTATTATTTGGTCGCACAGCCCTTGGAAAAAATAACTGACTGAAATCAATTGCTTCCTGTAACCATCAATTAGTTTATTACACCTCTCTACAGGAATTGTGAACAACTCTTTTTTCGCCAACTGCTCCAGGTCTCTCAGATTGGAAGGGTTCTTTTTGCCAACTGCTATTTTGAGATCTCTCCACAGGTGCTCCATGGGATTCAGATCTAGACTCATTGCTGGCCAGTCCAGTACTCTCCAGCGCTTTGTCTGAAACCATTTCTGGGTGCTTTTTGACGTGTGTTTTGGGTCATTGTCCTGCTGTAAGACACATGACCTCTGACAGAGACCTGACTTTCTGACACAGGGCCCTACATTACGCACAGCATTCTCATCTTTATTTCTTTTGTTTGTATTGGTATGACACAAAAAAGTGGAGAGAAAAAAGCCAAATCTGACACATTGTACGCCAACCTCCAAAAATGGACTGGACAAAATTATTGGCACCCTCAATTATTATTTGGTCGCACAGCCCTTGGAAAAAATAACTGACTGAAATCAATTGCTTCCTGTAACCATCAATTAGTTTATTACACCTCTCTACAGGAATTGTGAACAACTCTTTTTTCGCCAACTGCTCCAGGTCTCTCAGATTGGAAGGGTTCTTTTTGCCAACTGCTATTTTGAGATCTCTCCACAGGTGCTCCATGGGATTCAGATCTAGACTCATTGCTGGCCAGTCCAGTACTCTCCAGCGCTTTGTCTGAAACCATTTCTGGGTGCTTTTTGACGTGTGTTTTGGGTCATTGTCCTGCTGTAAGACACATGACCTCTGACAGAGACCTGACTTTCTGACACAGGGCCCTACATTACGCACAAGAATTCTTTGGTAGTCTTCAGATTTCATAAAGCCATGCACACAGTCAAGACATCCAGTGCTTGAAGCAGCAAAGCAAACCCCAAAACATTAGTGAACCTCCACCATGTTTGACTGTCGGGACTGTGGTTTTTTTTCCCATTTCTTTTTCTGAAAACAGTAGAGTGATGAGCTTTACCAAAAAGCTGTAGTTTTGTTTCGTCTGTCCACAGTACATTCTCCCAAAAGGATTTTGGCTTCCTCAGGTAAGTTTTGGCAAACTCCAATCTGGCTTTTTTATGTTTCAGTGTCAGCAGTGGGGTCCTCCTGGGTCTCCTACCATAGCGTCCCTTTTCATTCAGATGGCAACGCATACTGCGAGCTGACACAGTTGTACCCTGTGCCTGAAGGTTAGCTTGAATTTGTCTGGTAGTTGATTGAGGGTCTTTCTCCGCCATTTGAACAGTTCTTTGTTGCAATCTTCGATTAATTGTTCTCTTTCATCCAAGTCCAGGAAGATTAGCTACAGTGCCGTGGGCTGTAAAGTTCTTGACAATGTTGTGCACAGTGGACACAGGAACATTAAAATCAGTGGAGATGGACCTGTAACCTTGAGATTGTCCATGCTTCTCCACAAAAACTTGGAATGCAATTATCTCTTGCAATTTGGAGAAGGTGCCAATAATTTTGTCCCGTCCATTTTTGGAGTTTTGCTTGGAATGTGTCAGATTTGGCTTTTCTTCTCTCCACTTTTTTGTGTCATATCAATACAAACAATAGAAATAAACATGAGAATGCCTAAACATTTGTAATTGCAACAATGTTCTGCGCAAAATGGTAAATTAGCTGACAGAAATGCAGGGGTGCCAATATTTTTGGCCATGACTGTATGTATGTATATTTATTTATTTCATTTTTTCATATGTGTCCGTGGGGGACTCCAAAGGGCAAGATGGAAGACTAGGGGTGCATAACCATGACTAGTTGTTAATCCTATAAAATATTAGTAAGCTGTAACTCCCTAACCCAATCAGGCTACCTCCTACTATATCTGCCTTTAGGTGATCCCTGAAAACTCATCTCTTAAAAGGAGAACTATGGGGTTAGGGCTTTTCCCCATAGTTCTCCTTAGGGTAATGGGAGGACACAAACTAGCGTCCTCCCGTCACCCTAAGCTCAGTATACCGAGAGCTACGGCTCGCGGTATACTGAGACGCCGCAGTTTACTGCGAGCTACAGCTCGCGGTATACTGAGACACCGCAGCTGAGGCGGATCCCGACAATTATGTTTGGATCCGCCCAGCTGCGTTAATGGCAGCTGGCTCTGCCTATCTAGAGGCAGAGCCAGATGTACCCGCCCCGTCCGTTCCGCTAGTCAGCGCTGGAGGATCGGACAGGGGAGGGGGGAATCCAGTCCCTCCCGTCACGGCAGAGAGCCATGACAGGATCGAGAGGTGAGCGAACGCCGGTATGTGCTCGCTCACTTCCCGATCTACTGAGCCGACCTGTGACAGTCTCATTGTCACAGGTCAGCTAGAACTATGAGGATGAGTGAAAAGCACTCACCTCATAGTTCTCCTTTAAAAACCATACATCTACTTTTTTAATTAGCTCATTCCTCACAGTTACTACCTTCTGTATCACTTTCCCCTCCTTTACATTGTAACCTCCCACAAGTAGGGCTGTTTTTGTATAGAATTGTATTGTAACTGTACTGTCTCCCCTTATTTTGTAAAGCGCTGTATAATAATAATAATAATAATAATACCAAAACACTACACCTAACCTCCAGTATTTGTTATGATTCGAACACTGACATACACTGTGAATTTTAAACACAGACAGGATACATACAAAATACAAACTACAGCTATTGCCATATACTACTAAGAACAGATCCTGTCACCTATGAAACTTGATTCTAAGGAAAACTGCACTGGTGATTTTCATATCAATTCAAACAGGCTAGTGATGGTTCGGTCAATATATCTGACATTTTAACTGAAACATCTCTGCTATTAATAAAACCTATAACTGAAAAATGTAGAATACAGTTTCTTTCAAGAAGCTGTAAATATTGTAAATATAAAATATTACCACAATAACCAAATCAGCATATTTTATTGATATATAAAACAACTTTTTACCACTCATGTGGTAAAATTATGGATTAAATGTGTCCCAAAGATGCAAAATCATTCTAAGCATGGTGAAATGTATTATCTTAGGATCCTTTATGGACACAAAAACATAACTGCGGCAAGCAGCATTGATTCTGCCTCAACTCAGCACTGCAATAGGAAGGTACAGTTGTTACACGTGTGATATCATCTAGAAATCATACAATGAACCAATCTCTTTCATGATTAGTTGCCATGGGTAATTGCTCTTTCTTCCTTCTAAGTTAATAAAGCTGAAAATAAGCAAATGGGAATAATGGGAATCAAGTTATTGCCATAGGTATGTAAAGTAATGCAAAAAGCCTTACCAAAACGAGGTTCTTCGTTCTCTACAACATCGATTACCCTCCTTGCTACTTTGGCTACTGCTTCTGCTCCTGCCTTCCTTTTTGCATTTATATCTTTATTTTCCTCCATTGCTTACCTAAAACAATAACACCTGAGTTACAGTCTAGCAAATATCTTTAGCAAACATTAAATAAATGTCATTATACAAATACATAATACAAATAGGCCCAATAAAGGACGAAAACGGGAAGCTAGTCACAAATGACAAGGAGAGGGCAGAAGTGCTGAACACTTTTTTCTCCTCAGTATACACTCGGGAGGGAAACGGGTTTGACACACAGGATAAAACTCCCAGTTTAACTCAAAATATACCCCAGTGGTTGACAGAAACCGGGATACAACAAAGACTTAGTCTACTTAATGCAAATAAAGCGTTGGGACCGGACAATATACACCCCAAGATACTTAAGGAACTAAGCGCGGTTATAACTAGACCATTATTCCTCATCTTTAAGGACTCCCTAATGGCTGGTAGAGTTCCAAGTGACTGGCGGAGGGATACGGTAGTTCCAATATTTAAAAAGGGGTCAAGATGCCAACCTGGGAATTACAGACCAGTTAGTCTTACATCGGTAGTTTGTAAACTGTTAGAGGGAATGATTAAAGACCACTTAGTAGAATTCGTTCGGGATAATGACAAAATAAATGACAACCAGCAAGGGTTTAGGAAAGACCGCTCGTGTCAAACTAACCTACTGACTTTCTACGAGGGGGTAAGTAGAGATCTGGATGGAGGGAGGTCTGTGGATGTGGTATATCTGGATTTCGCTAAGGCTTTTGATACGGTACCACACAAACTCTTACTATACAAGCTGAGAGCTATGGGCATAGATGGAAGGGTGTGTACATGGATTGAGAACTGGCTAAAGGAACTGGTACAGAGAGTATCAATAAATGGTGCACTTTCAGACTGGGCTAGTGTCATTAGCGGTGTGCCTCAGGGTTCTGTGCTGGGTCCCATGCTTTTCAACCTGTTTATTAACGACATCGGGGACGGAGTACACAGCGATATCTCAGTTTTCTGACGATACCAAAATTGGGAGGGTAATAGAAACAAACCAAGATAGTGTAACATTGCAGGAGGACCTGGATAAAATAGGGGAGTGGGCAACTATGTGGCAGATGGGGTTTAATGTCGATAAATGCAAAGTTATGCACTTTGGGAGCAAAAATAGGCAAAGGGGGAATACAATTATGGGTATGCCGCTAGTGAAGTCGGAAATGGAGAAAGATTTGGGGGTCATAGTAGACCATAAACTGAATAATAGATTACAGTGCCAGGTTGCTGTACGCAAAGCTAGTAGAATCCTGTCCTGCATCAAGAAGGGAATGTTTTCCAGGGATAGGTCTATAATTTTGCCACTTTACACATCAATGGTTCGGCCTCACCTGGAGTATGCGGTGCAGTTTTGGGCACCGGTACACAAAAGGGATGTCCTTGAACTGGAGAAAGTCCAGCGGAGGGCGACCAAACTCAAGGGGATGGAGGACCAGAGCTATGAGACAAGGCTACTAAATTTAAACATGTTTACGTTGGAAGTAAGGAGATTAAGGGGGGACATGATTTTCATGTACAAATTGTTCAATAGTCATAGCAACATTAGCAACAAACTCTTTAAGATTAATTCTGTAATACAGACTAAAGGCCACCACCTAAAACTGGTAGAAAAAAAATTCAAACACAAGGGGCGGAGGGGGTTCTTCTCAGTTCGTGCGGTAAGGGTCTGGAACTCGCTGCCTCAAGCGGTAATTTCCGCGATTAGTATGGAATCATTCAAGAAGCTTTTGGACGACTTCCTGAGAGACCGTAATGTACAAGGGTACAGGTACTCTTAAGAATAAGAACACTCATGGACCTATACACACACACACACAATAGGTTGGACTTGATGGACTTATGTCTTTATTCAACCTCAAATACTATGTAACTATGTAACAAATCAGTAATGTACATTAATGTAATACAAAATAACTGCTGTGTGATCTTTTTTTAAAGTTTACACCAAGCCCACAACTGTAAACCAAAAATAAATACAAGTATCAGAAGTTACTAATTAAATAAAATATTAGGATTTTAGTAGGCCATGTTTGTTTTTGTGTTCTGTATTACAAATTACTTCACCTCAATTTTTTTTCCATTTTAGGCAAAGTACATTCCCCACAATGCCAGGACACCTGTGAGAATTGAGAGCTCAAAGATCATATGAATGTTACCTGAAGGCCTCATTCACACTGGAATTAGCCCGCACGTTCAGCTCCGTGCAGGGCCGTACCGAGCAGCTCCTGGGAAGGACAGATGCTGCGTGTGATTAGTACGCAGCCCCCGTCCTTCTCTATGGGTCTATGCGGCTGTATGCTCCCCTACAGTGTGAATTAGGGTTAAGGGTGCAAGGTTATATACCAGCAGTTCTCGGCCTTTTTTCAGTCACGTCAACCTTTAAAAGTATGAAAAATCTAAAGCCCAAAATGTAAAAAAAAAAAAATAATGTAGAAAAACAATGTGTGATCTCTTCAAAATCTATACCATATCCAGGATGTGGGTCTAGTATGGATTTTAAGGAGAGATCCCAGGCAACAAATGGAGTTCCCCTTCACATCAAATCAGAAGCCATTCTTCACATCAGGGGCCCCCTCTTTCAAATCAGAGCCCACACACACACACACACACACACACACACACACACACACACACAAACGCACACACTAC